CCATTGCTAGCAGGTTGGAGGCCATCACTTCTAGGTTGGAGGCCATTCCTATCAGCTTCCTTTTATTTTCTTTTGCTATTGCGTTGGAGGCCGTCGCGATTAATTAGGTTCAACCCTTCAACGTCTACGGAGTCTACGGCATCAAATCTTGTAGCCCCTCCCCGGAGATCCGGACTGTTCTTCCATATTTGTCAGCCAACTGCAGTAGTAACAAGTGCCTCGCTAGTAGTAACAAGTGCCTCGCTAGTAGTAACATGTAGTAACAAGTGCCTTACTAGTAGTAACAAGTGCCTTACTACTAGTAGTAACAAGAAGCTATTGTTCCGTCCAGCCCTTCCCAAACAGGTTTTTTCTGTGAATCAAGCGTGTGCAGGCTGCCCCAAGGAGAGCAAGCGGCGAGATTCACTTGTCCCCTCCGCGCAACAACGTCAATCCGCCGGGTGTTGCCAAACGTCGGCCCCGCGGGGCCCTTGGCCAGTGTATGGGTCCGATCAACTGCCAGGCCAGATCGCAGCGCCCAACTCAAGCGGAGAGCTCCGATGCGCAGGAATCCTGGAATAGCATTGGATGTATCAGCCAGTGGGGGCCATTGGGCCACTGTGAGGGGGTAATAGATTTCCTCCCATTGGTCGGCGTCGTGGAGGGACATTTCTGCCTTGGCGGCAGCTTGTTGAAGACTGTAGATGTTGGTCGTTTTACGTGTTTGGGTGGTAAGAATGAGGCAAGGCCAGCAAGACAGGTAGTCATTGATGTTAGTTGTTGTGTGAGCACTGGGAATTCAACACATACCTTTGTTTTCAAGACTTCCCATGCTGCTCTTATCGAGGAGTCGTACTGGTTGTGATCCAGATTATTGTGCCCATTGTGGATGGGATGTGGACAAGTGTCCCAAAACCATGGGAATCGTTTCACTGGGAACCGTTTCACCTGTAGTAAGCAGAAGCTTTTATTTAGTATGTCTTTGAAGCTTCCTAGAAAAGCTTTCTAGTCACTAGAAGCGTCCTTGGGAATCGTTTCACTGTGCAGTTTGAACCGGATTTTGTGGCAACTGCTGCCTACAGGAGGTGCATTTGTTGACCTTATCGCCGCCGCGGCGGAAAGTTAGTCGAGACCCTTCAGCTTCCTCTCGGGTGAGTGGATCCTTAAGATACCACGAAGAAGTGGCTCGGATCAGGCGTGATGATGGGTGGTGTGGCCTAAGTTTTGGACATTTTGCATCGGTTCGCACACACACTTGAGACATGCTGCCGTTTTGCATTTTTTGCTGTCGCGACGCAGGCCCGCGAGCTCTACAGTTCGCTTAGTATTGTCGGGTGAAGGTGTAAAGGATAACGTGCCAAGCGCAGACCGGCAAATTGGTCCGATCTCGCTTTTGCAGCAGCCGGACCACACATTGTAGCTTGGCTGAGACCCAGGTAGACTTACTGTAGACTTTTTGTTAAGGCTGTTTAAGTTTGGTTTGAGTTCGGCACATGTTGGCCAGCAGGTACGTCGGCAGAAAACATCAACCTGAACTTCTCAAGCGTTCAGTTGCTCAAGATTGCCTGCCTTTCATGAGTCGAGACCACTTCAGCATTTGCTTTGACCATGGTGAGTTCAGGATACGAACCCTGACATCGAACCCCATTTGGCGCGTCAGATCTGATGCAGAGCCGGTGGAATTGCAACGGGGCGAGCCCGTTGATTTGCAGTCAGGCCGACATCGGTGCCGACATCGCGCCATGACAACAAAACATAGCAAGACTAGCTGCACACACTTCGCACTCACAAAACTGGGGTGATATATATATATATATATACACATATTTTTTGGCATCAATAGACCCTAATGGACTTTAATAGACCCTATATATTCGCCGTATTCTTGGGATCCCCCTTCTGGACTTTTCATGATTTCCCATCCAAAACAAAGGAGAATGGTTTTCTTTTCACAACTCATGGTGTTGTCATATGATGTCATATGTATTGTCAGAGATGTTCCAATCACTTGGCATTCTGCCCACTGATATATAGCAGAGCATTCATCACGCAGTTGAAGGCTTTCATCCGATAATCCGACAGTCCAGTCTCCTATGCATTGAGAGTTCTGCTGGTGCAGGGGATCGGATTGCCCTTGGCACGGGTAGTGTCCACGCCTCAGATACTGTAACAAATTCTGATTGAACGTTTCCACAGCTGGTATGAGGATACGCACCGCTCCATGGGCTGGTTATTGCAGTCTCATGCAAGTTTGCTAGCGTTTTTCTTGCTAAAGGGGACCCGCAAGCAAAGGTTCTTCTGCTATGAACATTCCAATGCAGAGAGGCAATCAGTTATGCAGCTGCACGTAATGAGCAAAGCAATGGTTTTAGAATTTTTAAACACTGAGCAAAGCAATGGTCCTACAAGTAGTCTGGATAGGAGACATGGCTTTTGCGAGCAAGTGGACCCTTTGCGTAATAAAGCCCGCCGCTCACGAGCATGGCCGGTAATGTTTGGCAAGTGACACCTCGTAGTGAGGCAACGGTTTTAGGACCCAGACATCACAGAAAGCAAGGAGGCAAACTAAAGTAACTAAAGGTTCCAGAGCAGTTTGCCAGCTGCATGGCTGAAAGATGGCAAGTTGTCAACCACCAACAAATGCAGAGGCGCAACCTGGCAATGCACCCCGTCGCCCGGCTCCGTACAGCACCCCGCTGCTACGCTGCTACTTTGCCGGCCTGAAGTCTTGGACACTGCGACTCCTTACATCCCCCTGGCAGCGAACTAGCTACAACTAGCTACTGTACTAGATGCTATGGCCTCCAACCTGCTAGCGATGGCCTCCAACCTAATAGCCGTGGTCTCCAACCTAATGGAGATGGCCTCCAGCTATTACTAGCTAGGTGCTACTAGCAATGCGGTCACTTCTCATTTGATCGCTTTTTGGCGTGTGCTGAGGACAACGCCCCAGAATCTGCAGTCCAAAGTCTTTGCTGGCTGTTCACTGTTGAAGGCACTGAACTAGCACAGGCCGCCGCTCAATACAACTTCTTGTGCAGCTAGTGGTTTGATATGCTTTGTGTTTGATTTGTTGGAGTGTAGCTTCGAATCACACCTCTCAAGTCCTTCGGGCACCACCATCGCCAGGCCAATAGTTTCGAGGGCTGCCGAACACCACCATCCCCAGGCCATGGAGGGTCTATACATTGCAAAAGGCACCTGACAAGCTCCATGAGTTTGCTCCATGCGTTTGCGCCAGGTGGAGCGGGGCCTCGCATCTCTGATCTTCCGCCCATCATCCGTGTGTTGAGGCGGGCATCCGGCGGAAAGTGTGCGTGGCTCGCGGTCTAGACATGCACAGGCGAGTCAAATGACCACGAATGCGCACTGGTTAGAACTAAATAAAACGCCTAGGATGTGCCGTTTGACCCCAGAGAATTTGAGGGGGCAGTCTTTGGAACACCGAAACACTTTCGGCGTACGTAACAACGGCTACTCTATGCTACTCTGTATTTCTCGGCAATTCCACATGAACAACGGTGCCAAGCGAACTCCAACAACCCCAAAGGATCCCCAGTGGTACATCCTGGTACATCCTGGTACTAATGATGTAAAACAACCCCGTTCGGATGAGTAGCACAGGGCATTCGACTTTCGCTGTAACATGCTCACACCGAAAACCAGTGAAGACTTGTGAGGCACATTCCCGAGACACGAGCTGCAGCTGGGGTTTTTGTTAAACGAGTGCATTCTCAATTTGCCATTCCACGTCACAAGGTCTGGGACACTTTTTGTCAGGACAGACCGGTCTCTGAGCCCTGACAGTCCTGCGAGCCCTGCACGCCACGAACTCAGCGGGTGCGCCAGTGGTTTGAATTGAGACTCCGGACACAAGACCGAGCGGGCTGAAAAGTTCTTGGGTCCTCCAAGGTGAACGAATCATGTCTGAGGGCGGGCCAAAAGCCAAGGCCAAGAGCCGCTACAAGTAGGCAAGTCCAGCTGAAACAAGTTGGATTCTGCAAAGACTGAATCTGTTGTTAGCTTCTAAGTGTTTCCCTGGATTTCGAACAGACCGGATCAAGAGGGAAAAAACATAATGACACATATATGTATAAGTGTGTGTGTGCATGGTGGGAATGGTGTTTATTTTGGTTCATATTCTTCCCAGTGGCATTGCGATTCAAGCACACGGTGCACATGTCCAAGTGCACGAATTCAAGGCCCTGAGGGTTGTCCCTGGAGGCATGCGGTTCGTCCAGCTTTGCCTTCGCCTGTAAAGACGCCCAAGGCAAGGTAAGCAAAGCGAAAACTGTGGAGGCGCAGATGGCCACCTTGCAAAACGTGGCGGAAGACCTCCATGAGCCTCATCCTACGGCGGCCTATGGCCTACAGCTCCTTTTGGAGGGCTGAGGCTCCAATGGAGCCATCAGTCTTTTTAATTGAGTTCGGCGTGCCAAAAAGAGTCCCAGAAAGCCGTGTGCAAATTCAACGGAGCCGGTGAAGTAACTGGCTATATATATATAACATTATATAACCATATCACTATACTGTAACTAGTTTAGTAGCTTCTTGTTACTGGTAGCGTTGGCCTCCAACCTACTTGCGATGGCCTCCACCCAAGAGCGTCCACTACTAGGATCGCAACGATCAAGATTTGAAGGATATATAAATGTGATGGTGATTTACGTTGATTTGAACATGCGTCTTGGGAACTGTTCACGGCTGCAGCTGTGTAACTTTCCCAAACTCTGGAGCTCATGGAGACTCCATGGTGCCAAATGTGCCCAATGTGCTCATGGAGACTCCCTGTGAGCGGCTCCCACGAGCTGTGGTGGAACAGCTCCGGCGTGTTCATCTCGCACAGCTGGACGAACTGTCCGAGCTTCGTACAAGGATCCGGGGATCCAGGCATGCTGTGCATGCCGTTTGTGTTCACCGTGTGTTCACTTTCCCTCCTTGTTGCAACTGTCCGCACAGAAGGTGGATGTGTCATTGATGTTACTCGTGGTGTGTCCATTCTGTGTCCTGTGTTTTTGAATACGGAGCACGCACCCCCCGCAGATGCTGCACAATCACTCGGCACACTGCACTATTTGCTAGTCATATGTATATGTATATATATATATATTATTGTAATTTGATGTAATTTGGGTTTGGTTTCATGGTATTCGTGCCTTTATTTCTTTCATACTATTGTATACTATTGTGCCATCCGATGCCATTAATGCTTGAGACTGGCAGGGAGCTGCTGCGAAAAGAGCGAGAACTTCGACAGCAACTGGACTTGGCAAGAGACAAGGAGGCCTGGATTTGACATCGTGGCTTTTGTATCCTACACCCTGCATCATGTTCCATCAACGTTCCAGTTCCTTCTGTATGAGGCGGGTCTTGCGAAGCAAGCAGCCTCATGCTTGGATGACCTCATGCAACGGCATCAGGAGATCAACCGACTTCGTCTCTTGGTGGAATTTTTGCGCCAATGGAACATAATGGAACAACAGGTTGCACTCATCTCATCTCATATTTGTTGAGTGGTTTTTATTAGCGTCACTGTTGCCGGCCCTAATTAATGAGAGGAGCAGTATGGGGTAGAAAAGGAAGAAGGAAAGGAAGAAAAGGACTCTAAAAAGAAGAGGTGAACACAAAAGTTAGAAATGATGGAACGATATTTGTGCAGAGTTGGACATAAAAGAGTATCATTCTTGCTTGGAAAAAGGCTTGGAGATGGCGGAGGTTGAGAAAGGCTGTAGCGATGGCGAAGCACATTTATCGGTGTTGCGACGGATCGCCGAGAAGCTCAGCGATGCCTCAAAGGACCGGTTACTAGTAGCTTCTTGTTACTACTAGTAAGGCACTTGTTACTAGT